TGACATTTTTAGAGGACACAATGCTCCAAGGTCCCTTTCCTGAGTAATAACAGCTGGTTCAAACCCCAACATTGTGTACATATAGTTGAGGTTATTTTTCCCTAGGTGCATTACCTTGTACTTATTGACATTAAAGTTTATCTGCCATTTTTCTGCCCACTTAGCTTGGTGAATCTTTCTGCAGTTCCTCTCCATCAGATTGGGACTTGACTCAGAATAATTTGGTGCAATCTACAAACTTGCAGATTTCACCATGCACCTGCATTTCCAGGGAACTGTCCCCTTTTAATAGGTGCACTGAGGCATACTGAACTTGTTGTCCCCAAAGGACAGTGAGTTCGTGCCCGGTGCGCTTGTGCCAATAAACACACAGGGGTGAAGGATCCAACTTAACCTTTATTTCCTGCGCAGAAAGTGGTGCTTGGCAATCGTTCGCAAAGCAAGCACACCCACCCCAGTGGGCGTCTGCCTTATATAGCTACGTAACAGGTTAAACTTGCTGATGTGATGAAATGTGTAGCAAGCCCAGCAAGTAACCCCCCTTCCAGCTCCCCCCCCAAGTAACCCCACTTCCAGCTCCGGAACTTTGTTGATACAGCTTTTCCTCTAGCGAGGCCAGCAATTATAAACAACTAAGCAACAAGCGATCTCCCCCAGTCTAAACAACCTACTGTATGCCCTTGGTTAGATAAAATACTTTTTTCAGAACACAAAGCTGTTCCTGAAGTAGAAAATGCATAGTAAGAGTTTAAGGGATCTCTGCTGGACATGGCTTTCAGCCCTACCTCTGTCCCTAGGGGTTTAGCCAGGTGCCCCTGAAACAAGGGGTGCTTATCAAACTGGCTACAAAGATGATATTCTTCAAATTGTACTTGCCTGCAGGCCCCATCTTTTGTCGTCTTGGACGCTTATTACAAGATGCAGTCTTCTGTACTAGGGCCTAAATCAAACCCTTTAGAAGCTTGTGATCAGCGACTGGAGTGCATGCCTAGAAAAGGCATTTGCATGCAAACAGGCTTCGAGCATAGTGCACTGGACCTGCAAAAGCAGGAGGATATTACAATTTTTTTTTTTTTTTTTTTTTAGGAGGGAGACAAAAGTTTTTATCCAAAGACGTTGCAAATGTCAACTGTTTCCTGCCTTTCCTCCCTCAAAACACAGAAACAAGATGGCTGATGTTTCCAAGACATTGTAAAAAACAATTTCTTTGCATTCTCTCATTATTTAAGCTAGGATGATTGCTGCCAGCTGAAGACATGGTGACAGCACTAGCCAGGCTCTAGCACACACTACCGCTGACTCTGGCTGAAATTAACAAGAGTTGAAACTCCAAAGCAACAGGCAGGTTTAAATCCCAAGAACAGTACCTCAACTATAATGGAAAAGCCCAGGTCAGTTATACATGAGTATGTGACCCTGCACTGGCAGGGCAGAGATTAGGTATGGGCCAAGAGATCTGGCAGACTGTAAAACTTCTACCATCTCTACATGCATTAATGGATTGCAAACCCACAGTGCATCTGTTGTTTGACTCTTCCCACACCGTTATCTGTGCGGTATCAACTGAGATGGCACAAACTTTGGAGCATGGATCTCCTTTCCAGGAAATTGCCACAAAACAAAAATATTTTCCGAGGCAAGAGAATTTTAAACAAGAACAATAATTCATGGGGAACCAGCCCTTGCATATTACCTTGCTTTTGTATCAGCTGTATAAACCCTGAAAATATTAAAACTGGCAGCATGCCTGTACTAAACTCAGCATGGGCTGGGGTGCTAAGCAGGACTGAGTAGCAATAGACTTCCTGTTACATTCATTTATGCTTAAATAATTTTAATTATGATTAAAACAAATCTTCACCAAGGTAGGAGGCAGACAGAAGTTGGAGGAAAGTTCCGGGATTCCATTTATAGGGTGTTTACGGTGAAGCTCCAGTCAGTCACTCATTTTCTGGGCATTGGCGTGCACCGATGCCTCCCCAGCAAGCCAGTGGGAACAAATAGCGCATTTATTTGAGGTGTCCAACCTGGTTTGGGTGTTAATCTAGTTTAGGAGAGAAAGGCAGTGTTTTCATCTTGCCAAGAAAAGGAAAAGCAGGAGTGGGAGACATGGCAAGACAAGATGTTTTGTAGTGTCCATTGCAGAAGGCATGCTGGGTGCCCAGATGGTATTAGAACAAGGGTGTCAAACATACAGCACATGGGCCAGATCTGGCCTGTGGACCCAGATCATGCAGCCCTTGGAGCTGCCCATGGGTTTCAGAGTGACCCCAAGACAGCATTCAGGGTACACCAGATGGCCCCATGCAGCACCCGCTCCAACTTGCATCCTGGAATGATAAAGTGGCTGTTGTATGCAGCACAGCCTGAGTAGCCAAAGCAGAACTGTGCTGCACATGGCGCCCAGTCCAGCTGCTCCAGGGCACCTGCTGGATCTAGAATACAGGGCCAGTCTGTGGGTCCAATCCAGTCCACAAACCAATTCTGAGAGACTCATCCAGCCCTGGGACCAGATGAGTTTGACACCCCTGTATCAGAGCATGCCTTTCACAGGCCCTCAGGTAGAAGAAAATGGAATATGCATCTGACTGAGAATAAAGGCACAAATTCACATTTTAGATTCTAGAGCCAGGTGAGATCATAGATACTCACAGGGAAGTAGGACTGGAAGGGACCTCCAGAGGTCATCTAGTCCAACCCCCTGCCTGCCTGAGGCAGGATCATCCCTATTAAAACCATCCTATATAAATTCATTGTCTCACCTCTCAGCAAAACTACACAATCCACCCAAACAAACTCAAGATATACCACCCTAATCAGCCACAGCTAAAGCAGTAGGACCACAGCAGCCAACATTTTGCTGCTCCAAACTTTGTTAAAACATGCTCAAGAGATCCTTGAAAGAGGGTCATCCCCCAGCCTCTGGAGTGGAAGGCAAAACCCTCCATAGTCCGTACCAATCTGACCATGGGATAGAAATCCTCCCTGACCCAAATATGGCAATCAGTCTGACCATTAGATCTTTATCTGGTCCTGACATAATAGAACTTCACTGAATTACTCCAATATTGATCCCAGCTAACTAAGCCAGAGGCATCCAATTTTGATTTGAAGGCTTTGAGATGGACAATCCACCACCATTCCACTGGTTGAATCTGGATTTCTGATTTGACAGTATCTGAGCAGAAACCTCCTAACAAGGTGCTGCAAATCTTTATCAAGGTGACTGGAGCATTGGCAAGAGAGGAATATAGGGCAGCGAAGCACTTGAGAGAGATGGCAAGAAGAACAAGTGTTCACAGTTCTGTTTGAAAGTTTCAGATTTCTACTAGATCATAGACAGACGCCAACAGTTGGCAGTGAAAGCCCTGACAGGTGGGGTCTTTAGGGAAACTGGGTGGTGATCTGTGTGACAACTCACAACCTGGAACAACTACTGCAATTAAGAAGAGGTGATACCCTGCATTCACACCAGTCACCAGGCTGCCTGCAAAATATAAACAGAGGCAGCCCCAGAAGCAGAAGAATCAAGAGCATCAGGTCACTCCTAATGCTAGCATGGGCTGTGCCCAAGTACTCTTACCCAACCCTGCATTCTTTCTACCCCATAACAAGAAACTTGTCCTAGGTAAAATTTCCTGAACAAGTCACAGTGCATTACTAGACAAGGAAAATACACCAGAAGGCTAACTTGACGAGAGAGAGGTTAAGCTTGGGAGTTACAAAACAGAGCAAGGGATACACTTCATATCTCCAGTAGGGACAAAGCCACAGTTCTTTCCATACATCCACTTACCTTTAGACAGCCTCCCCAGTCAGGTCCAGCAGTATTCCTTCTTCCGTTCCATACCTGCCTAACTCCTTTGAAGCAGCCTCAAACAATGGTGAATCGGAGCATTCAGGAGTAGATTTCTAAAAGCAGGTTAGATTGCAATGGCTACAGATCTTCAGCAATGCAAGACCTCCCAGGAATAATGAAAATGTGAAGTTACGTTTGCTGTGAAAAGCCCAAGCAGTTTCACCTTCTGGTTATAAAGATCACACTTGCAATTCAGAGCCATTTCATAAGCTTAACTCCAACATGAAAAAAACATTTTAAGACGGGTGAAGGGACTTAAAAAATAAATAAATAAATAAACGCATCCATGAAAGTTATTTGGACTAGTTTGTTGCATTATGGACTGCTACTCCAGTTTACCCTTCTGTACAAGGGCATTTTCAAAAGCACTCCTGTTTTACAAGAATACATACTAAGTGCCGTCTCCCATGACCAGTGATCAGAAACAACACACAGACACGGATTGTACCAAAGAACACACCAGCAAATATTTGTTGTTTTATTACATTTGTTCAGTTATCCAGGTTAATTGTAAACTCTTGTTTAAATGGGTGTAGATGGACACAAATTAGTGCTTTGCACAGTAGGTCTGTTTCAGAATTATTAGAAAATTGGTATTTTCCACAAAAGCCTCAAATTTTACACAAATGAGTCCTCAGGGAGGAGGAGGTGGAATTCTACTTTTACCATCAGAATTATGAAACAGATGTGGACATTTTTAGCCCTCCCCTCCTGCAAGTAAAATAATAAAAAAAAAAGATGGATTGGTTACCTCGAACAACCCATAAATGGAAATGTATTTACGTGATCCTGGCTCAGTTGGGACCTCACAAAGACGTGTACACTAAGTATCACCTACCAAAACAGTCAGTCAAGAGTTCATAAGACTGGTATAAATAAATCTGAAAAAGTTTAAAAATTACTCAAGGGTAGAAAAGGGCTATGAAATAAGTGACCAGCTCAACTCAGCATCTGCCCATTTCTTAAGAATTCGTTAACATCTAGTTATACAATCATAACATTCTCCATTAAATTACAGCAGATAAATCCCAAGGTTTTAACAGCAGCCGTTTGAGAACTATAAATAGTGCAGTCTGCACACTCGAGGAAGAAGCCTCATGTGACCTTTCATACAGATCAACCTCC